CTTGCGAAAACAAATTCGCAAGCAGTTGTTCGGGAGAACGCCTGTGCATGAAAGCATGCAGCTGCCCCTCAGGCTCACGGCCACGCCTTCAGCGGAGCGTCGTCTGCCTGCTGCAAGCCTCAGACCTTTCAGAACACGCAGAACTATGCAGACCTTGTTTCCAAAACCGCATAAGAAGCCCTTTACGTGATCCAGGTTTCTCGCGGCGCAGCGGACCGGCGAGGGCCGCGTTGGTGCTGCGGAGGTGCCCTAGGACACAGCGTTTGCCGATGGTTGTGGCTGCAATGCTGCTTGCCAGTGTGTCGAGCAGACGTTGCCGGCAGTTTCGGCTTGACCAGTAGCTATTATTGTTATTATTATTATTATCATTATTATTTTTAATAATATTATTATAGTTATTATTACTATTGTTGTTATATTTACTATTCAGTAACAGCTCAAGTCAGTTCGTGCAATGCAGTCACCCTGTCTTGGTTGCTCTCACTGACCGCCAGTTTGACTGCTTGCTTCGGAACAGTGGCTATTGTGATGTACTGGGTTTCGTAGCAAGTTTTGGTCAATCGACTTGTTTCCGGAGCCTGCAACTCAACCGAAGGTTTTCGGTTTTTTGTCTTGCATTCTACAATGCTACAATCGCCAATGCCACAATCTCGGCTGTGGCTGCGTGGAAAGGTACTGAGAGGCGAGTCGCTGGAAGAGCTTCGACGCGGGTGGCTTTGGGGTGCAGGGGGCTGTCGCGTGCCTGTGCCTTGTCCACCTGGTCTCTTGCGACTGCCTTTGACGGTTTACCTGTGATCAGAAGAGCAAGCCAGGCCGGTATTTTGGCTGGATGCTGGAGCTTCACTGCACGAGGAGCCCAGAGCGGGTGTCTAGTAGATAGATGGCATAGGCCTTCTTTGGCATCAGATGCACGAGAGACACATTTTTGGGAATTCTTACCCTTCTGGCGTCGGGAAGGATGGACAGTGCGGGGGCGGAGCCCGGAGGGAGGAGGGGGGGAGCACCGGCGGTTGATGGCTGCTTTGAGCGCCCAAAGCGTGAACCCTCGCGCATACACACCGACTGCGCGGATTTCTTGTGGGCTTGGGAAGTCCTGGTGGCAGCTCAGGTGTTGTGTTCTGGAGTCATCGCGTGAATCACTCTCCAAGCCTTCTTTCAAGTGCTGGTGACTGTGGCCACGGTGTCACACTCAAACACTCGGAAACGAGCACACAAAAGCAACTATCCGCACCCATCAACATGGTTGTTTGCTCTGGGGGAGAGCAGAGGTGCTCGAGGGTTGACCGGGGATTGCCCGTCGGATTCTTTATGTGGCTTAGACATCAACCACGCTTTGCCGATACGATTCCGGCCCGAGGGGCAGGGTGGGCGGCAGGTGATGGTGGCGGGCTGCGAGGATCGCGAAGGCCCGGAATCATATCCGAAATCGCCGTTTAAACTTGACCTGCCTTCCACATGCCGGCTTGTTTCCTGCACCTTGTCCGAAGTTGCTTTGCAACCGTTTCTGCCAAAGCACATGCCAAAACGAAAACCTGCAACTGGGTTTCCTCACTGGAGCGATAGGATTTCACTACGAACTGCCGCCGATGGGCTGCGAGCCCGTCTCAATCCATCGTTGAGTTTGTCTCGTAGCCATTGAAACAAGGTTCTTCCTGCCCTAAACCCTAAACCCTAAACTCTAAACCCTAATCCCAAAAACCCTAAAACCCTAAACCCCAAACCCTAAACCAGAACTCCGAGAGGCTTATCAGCTGACAGTTCGCGGGTATCAGGAGTGGCATCCGGTTCGAAGCGCAAGCGTCAGACCAGCACGCGGCACGAAACAGAGCAGAAGATACACCCTGCTCCCAGACTCTCGCAAGCCGATCCCAATTCCTGCTCCGCCCTGTCGGAGAACCCGCGCATTATATAGTAGAAGAAATACGTATGATAAGATAAGATACTATTATAAGATATTATAGTAGAAATATGTGTATGTATATTATATATATATGTGTATATATATACATATATATGTGTAT